TTTTTTTTGGTTTTTCGAGACAGGGTTTCTCTGTATAGCCCGGGCTGTCCTGGAACTCACTCTGTAGACCAGGCTGGCCTCGAACTCAGAAATCCGCCTGCCTCTGCCTCCCGAGTGCTGGGATTAAAGGCGTGCGCCACCACCGCCCGGCAACTGTTGAGATTTTTAGGTTCTCTGTTAGTTGTATCATTTCATCATTTAAACTGAGTCTTTGTCAACTAGTTGTGCTAGGAGCTGGAACACTTAAAGCTCAGATGAGCATGTCCCCTGTCATTTAATACTGTACAGCCTGTCATAATAAAAGTGTGGCGGAGAAGGGAGGATGGCCCTGGTGCATCCTAATGCTTGAGAAAGAGACTGGTGAATTGCTCTGAGGCTGGAAGTGCCAGGATGGATAGAAATGAGTGAATGGACAGAAGCCATGTGGAAGCAAGTCTACCGTAGTAGACTATGCCCTGTCTAGAGGACTCCAGGTTCAGCGTCAGGCTTCTCTGCTTCTGCATTACTGCTTCCCACCCCTAGTTAAATCACTAGATATAGTAGGGGAGACTCGGAGATGGAAGTGGAAGGTTATCTGACGCCCTGTCTGTAGCACCAAACAGCTTGATATTTGTCCAGTAGGAGTGGGAGGAATAGGAGAGAGACTCCTGGTAGCCTCACCTTCTGCTACATTTGGCCTTAGAATATTGAGTCCACTTTCCCACAGAAAGTTAGCCACATGTCCTGAAGGCTGTCCTGTTTCCTCAGTTGCCTCCACCTCGGGTGAGGGCTGTTTTAGCTAATCCAGGTTATAAAACAGTGCTGCCTTCTCAAGAGACGGCTGCTGAGCACCTCCTTGTTGTATGACTGAACTCTGGGCTCCATTTGGCTCCTTTCGTTTTTTTTTTTTTTTTGGTTTTTCGAGACAGGGTTTCTCTGTGTAGCCCTGGCTGTCCTGGAACTCACTCTGTAGACTAGGCTGGCCTCGAACTCAGAAATCCGCCTGCCTCTGCCTCCCAAGTGCTGGGATTAAAGGCGTGTGCCACCACTTCCTGGCCTTTTTTTTTTTTCATTTTTAATTGGATATTTTATTTATTTACATTTCAGATGTCATCCCCTTTACCCATTCCCCCAACCCTAGGGCTCCTTTTGTTCTTAACATGTCCCATCACACTAACTTTGCAAAGTGTGGTTTCTTGGCTAGGGTCAGCCCATGAGCCAAGAAAGGCATAAGCAATAGACATTGAGAGTAAACGTTTATTAAACGACAACAAAACGGTTCTTCACCACAGGTAGTTTGAGAAATCCTGCTCTGTCAGACAAAATTCCAAAGAGGAGACTCATGAAGTTAAATGAATAATAAATAATCAGACTCCTTTTGTGTGCCAGACCTTGTTTGAGGCCTTGAGGAATGATGTCGGCCTCTGTGTGCTGAGAGACTTTAACGGTGATGGGCTGGACAAGAAAAGGAGCTAAGTCCTATAAAGAGTATGAGACATTAAAACCAGAAGTATGGCCGGGCAGTGGTGGTGCACGCCTTTAATCCCAGCACTTGGGAAGCAGAGGCAGGCAGATTTTTGAGTTCGAGGCCAGCCTAGTCTACAGAGTGAGTTCCAGGACAGCCAGGGCTACACAGAGAAACCCTGTCTAAAAAAAAAAAAAAAAAAAAAAACCCAGAAGCATGGTAGAGTATGCTGTGGATCAGGACCAAGCACTTCTCCTGGGGGCAGCAGCTTGCCTGAGACCTGATGCTAAGGAGCCAGGAGTGAGAGGTGGGAAAAGAACATTCTGGGCAGCAGCTAGTCTGGAGAATAAATTTGATGTGGCTCAAGGACCACAGTCTCCGAGGCCAACTGTCATCATAAGGGTGGCAGCTGAGGTTTGGGCTCCTGCTCCTTCACGACGACCTACTTTCACTTCTCCTAAATGGGTCATAGTCTCTTTCCTTATTGGACCTTTCTTCCCTATTTTTTTTTTCAGAACTCTAGAGACATGAAGTATGAGTTTTCGTGCCCGAAGTCTGCTTCCACAGCTGGTTGGTGTACACTATTTTGTATTATGTATGTTTATAAACTTTAATTTGGTATTATCGTTGTTGATGTATTTGTCTTTCATCCCAGGCTTGTCAGGGAAAAAGATTTCTATTTTGTACCTTATAGCTCTAACAGTTCAGAAAGTAGCATACTGCCAGGCAGTGGTGGCGCACGCCTTTAATCCCAGCACTTGGGAGGCAGAGGCAGGCGGATTTCTGAGTTCGAGGCAAGCCTAGTCTACAGAGTGAGTTCCAGGACAGTCCGGGCTATACAGAGAAACCCTGTCTTGAAAAACCTAAAAAAAAAAAAAAAAAAAAGAAAGAAGGAAAGAAAGAAAGAAAGAAACTAGCATACCAATTAAATGGACATTGGGTCAAAAATAAAGTGAAATGGAATGAGATGTTACTTGTGTCAAGGTACCAGACTCATGCATGGCCTTTCACAATAATAAACACACACACACACATATATATGTATGTATATATGTATGTATGTATGTATATTTTTTTCAGCTCTGCTTAAAAGCAGAGAAGAAATGCCTGTCTTGTGAACACAGGTTTCCCTCTGCTGATAATAACCCAAAAGATATAAGCACAAACTAAGGGCTGAGGCTACAGTACAGTGCTAGAATATTTGACTAGATCCTTAGTTCGATCCGTAGCGCCACAAGAAAAGGAAAAGGGAAGAAAAGGAAGGAAGGAAGAGAAAAAGAAAAGAAAGCTAGCTAAGTTCTGGGTTGCCAAGTGTTCAGGCCTTATGTACTCCTTGTTTGGAATCCTTTGTTCTTATCACTAAATTCTGTTTCCTAGGAGAGTCAAACACAAATTCTGTGGAGAATCTTCAAGAGAAAGGCTTTCAAGAGTCTGGATAGATGACTCAGAAACTAAGAGCACCCCTGGCTCTTGTAAGTTCAGTCCCCAGCACCCACATGGTGGCTCACCATCATCATCACTCCAGTTCTAGGAGATCCAATGACCTCTTTCACCTCCAGCAGTACCCAGCAGGCATGTGCTGCACAGACATCTTTGCAGGCAAAACATGAAATAAAAATCTCTAAAACGAGAGAAAGAGAAAAGACTTCAGGATTTACCACTATGGGTTTCCTAGTGGCTAATTTTGGAAGAAATGGCCAGTCAGTAGCTGGAAGTTGAGTTTATATTATAAATCTTCAAGTACACACAGATATTGAAATAAATTGTTGTCACAAATGGGGAGAAGTGATTTGCCATATTTCCAAAAAACCACAAATCTCGGTGACTTTTAAAAGTTTTTTCACAAACATTGAAAGTGAAAAAAAAAATTATCTTTGAAATCCCAAGACAAATGGCCAGACAGGACACCTCTGTGAAGTTGTGCAAGGAGCCTCAGGGGGGAAAAGGCCTCTTGTAACTGAAGAAAGAGGGAGAGAAAACGAGTAAGGGAGGGTTGTCATCCCGTACAAGTTCTCTGACTTGACGTTCAGAGAATCGTCAAGTCAAGCTTCTACCTGAGAGAACAGAGCTGGCACCTCCAGCGTTCTCTGCTGAGACAACTTGCCAAAATGTCCAGTTCAAAGACTCTTTAGTCTCCTTTGTAACACTAAAGACAGTTTTAGATGGAAGTCATCATCAGTCACTTGGAGTCTTCAGAGAGACCACACAGAGAAATCCTGTGACTGGTGATTCGGAGGGGATGCTTATCACCAACCCAGATGGTTATCTCTTCAAGAAAATCCCCACTTCACAGCAACTATACACTCGTGACCGGTGTGGGAGGACTTTATTCAGAACTCAGAACTAATGCGTCATCAGAGACACCACCTGAAAGAAAGGCCTGCCTGTGTGTGAGCATTGTGGGAGGGGCTTCAGCTGGTCTGAGCATTGTGGGAGGGGCTTCACCCACGCTCATGTCTGTTCCCGCATCAAGCAGTCCACATGGATGAGAAACCTTACAAGTGTGACAAGTGCGGGAAGGGCTTCACCAGGAGCTCAAGTCTGCTTGTCCATCATTCCGTCCATACGGGCGAGAAACCTTTCAAGTGTGACAGGTGTGGGAAGGGCTTCAGTCAGAGCTCAAAGCTGCACATCCACCAGAGAGTCCACACCGGAGAGAAGCCGTATGAGTGTGAGGAGTGTGGGATGAGCTTCAGTCAGCGATCCAACCTGCATATTCACCAACGTGTCCACACGGGAGAGAGGCCCTACAAGTGTGGGGAGTGTGGGAAGGGCTTCAGCCAGAGCTCGAACCTCCACATCCACCGGTGCACCCACACTGGAGAGAAGCCGTACCAGTGCTATGAATGTGGGAAGGGCTTCAGCCAGAGCTCAGACCTTCGAATCCACCTCAGAGTGCACACTGGGGAAAAGCCCTACCACTGTGGCAAGTGTGGGAAGGGCTTCAGCCAGAGCTCCAAACTCCTCATCCATCAGAGAGTCCACACGGGAGAGAAGCCGTATGAATGCAGCAGGTGTGGGAAGGGCTTCAGCCAGAGTTCGAACCTCCACATCCACCAGCGGGTTCACAGGAAGGAGCTTCCATAAGTAACACGAGCCCGCTCAGGAGTTCAGAAAACTTTCATTGTAAAGATAAATATTTCTCATAGCTGAGTGTGCATATCCGAGGTATGCTTGCCAGCACGTATAAGACCCTAAGTGTGAGCTCTGGTACCTGCCTCCCACAGTTTCCAGCTTAATACTTTGTGTGTGTGGGAATGTGTGTTCATGCAGAGAGAGGTACATGTGTTGTGCTGGTGTGTGCATGCTTGTGTGCATGAGTGTGGAGGTCAGAGGACATCTCAAGTGTTCAGATGCCTATCACATTTTTGTGTGAGACTGGGGATCTGTGTGTCAGTCATGGTATGGAATGTCACCAAGTAAGCTAAGCCAGAGTCCCATGAATCTACCTGTCTCCACTTCCCAGCTCACCATGGCTAGGATTACAGGAGTTGCCACCACACCCAACGTTTTCTGTGGATTCTGTGTCGAGCTTCCTAGACAAGAGCTTTGCTGGCTGAGCTGTCTCCTAGGGCCCCATTTTAATACTTTCAACTCTTACCTGTGTATTCCTCAAAGGAAAGAAATAGTAAGGGTTATTCCAATATAGCCCCTCACAGAAGAAATCAATCCTTCATTTAAAGTATCCGAGTCCCCAGCACGATTTATGTTATATGATGGATGGATTACTCTGGTTCCTCATATGGGTGGAGTGTATAATGCAATTCTGTTTTCTGAGTTTGAGGCCAGCCTGGTCTACAGAGTGAGTTCCAGGACAGCCAAAGCTATACAGAGAAACCCTGACTCGAAAAACCGGAAAAAAAAAAACAAAAAACAAAAAAAAAAAAAAAGAAAGAAAACCTGGGATGCAATTCTGCTGGTGTTGTTAGAAGTATATTCCACGATTTTACCTGCAAGCACTCTGTATTTTTCCAAGCACAGCATGGCTCCCTTCGTTCATATTCTCTGAAAAATTGGAATTCATGTTTCCTCTGAAATTATGTGCCTTGTTTTTCATATTTCCTTTAAGTCCCTAAATAGCCCTCTTTAAACTGTGACCACACAATGTGCCCATTCCAGGGTGGGGTGGGGGAGCTGGAAGTAATAATCACGGGCATGGTGATCTGTTGTGTTTAATACAAAAACGTACATCAGTTTATGCTTACACTGCAGGAAGTGTTTCCCCACACACTAATGTGATGGGAAGTTCACTCGGCCCCTCCTCTCAGGCAGCTATTCACAAATGAAAATAATTAGTTTTTACTGAGTGAAGTTAGTTTGTTAGGGATACTTCCATAGTAAAAAACAAGGGGAAAATCCCGAAGCAACATAACCAGAGGAGCTAGGAGAATAAACCTAGCACTGGGTGATACAGAGCCATGATCCAGTGTACGGAGAATAGATGATCCAGCAGAAGAATTGAGGCAGAACTGGAGACACACACAGTACATGGGGGACATGAGGCAGCCAATCAGAGGCTTTGGAAGCCATAGTAAGACTTGATAAAGTTGACAAGTGGAGCTGGGAGGGGCCCCACCCCAACTTTAATACCAGAACTTGAGAGGTGAAGGCAAGAGAAGAGGATCTCTGAGTTCAAGGCCAGCCTGGTCTAACACAATGAGTTCTAGGACAAGGCTACATAGAGAAACCTTGTCTGGGCAGGAAGGGGGTAGGGGTGGGGCATATAGACTAATGGAGAAATGAGTAAAGAATGTGCCTTTGTTAAACGGGTCTAATCTATTTTCAGGGCAGTCCTAAAATGATAGTAAATGTTTGCTTATAAAACTACAGCAGGCCAGGCAGTGGTGGCGCACGCCTTTAATCCCAGCACTTGGGAGGCAGAGGCAGGTGGATTTCTGAGTTCGAGGCCAGCCTGGAAGTGGAAGGAGAGAACCAACTCCCAAAAGTTATCCTCTGACCTGCCATACACTATGTGGCGCACGTGTGTGCGCACGCATATACACGCACCAAATAAAAACGTCAATTTTTTTAATTTAAAAATGAAAACCAGGCCTGGTCTACAGAGTGAGTTCCAGGACAGCCAGGGCTACATAGAGAAACCCTGTCTCAAAAAAAACAAAAAAACAAAAAAACAAAAAAAAAAAATGAAAAGCATCTAAGATACATTCTCTTTGAAACTGAAGAACCTCCAGATAGTTAGAAAGTAAGCAGCACCTGAGTGAGCAACGGGCTAAAGAGAAAGAAACACGGGGAAATTGAAAATATTTTTGAATTGAATGACTGCGTTAGAATTAGAGACTCCTGTTAAGACAATGCTTCGAGGAAGAGATGCGGTGTTTAACGTGTATCTTAGAGCAGGAGAAAATTCAAAATGGTCTAGACCTTCAAAGAAAGTAGAAAAGGCCAGGCGTAGGTAGTAAAGACTGAGGTAGAAGGTTCATGGACTCAAGGCTAATCCATCTCAAAAGAAAAGGCACACTTCACACAAAACAAAGAGGAGGAGATGATAAAGGTAGGAGCTTAAAATTAATGAACTAGCAAATGGACAAACAGAAAATACAGAACTACAACCGGGCTCATGGAAAAATGCTAACAGTCAAGGTAGCAGGACTGGAAGAGCAACACTGCAGATCCTCCAGACATTAAGAGGAATACAGGGATTTTAGCAGGAAGTTCACAGCTTAGAGAAGACTTTCTGTTAAAGCCACATTCTAACAAATCAGTCAAGATACCTTAAATAGCTGTCTCTTTTTTAATTTTTTTTTTTTTGAGGCAGGACTGCAACTTTATTTGACATTCAGCAGGTTAGTTCTCATCCACATTGACCGTCTGTAGATTTTTGAATGTGGTAACAGGCACGTAAGTTACCAACGTGTAGAGCTTGTTTGGTGAATCCTCATCTTGACAAACGTACTCGGATGCGATATGGAACATTCCTTATTCCCTGGCCCAGACGGCTTTATTGAGCCTGGTGTCAATGCGCACATCTGGAGTCCCCATTTCCTTCATGGCAAACTTTCGAATTTCTTTGAGCACGCTTCTTGAAGCCCACTCCATGGATGCGCTTGTGAATGTTGATGGTGTATTCTCGGGTTACCACCTCGTTGATGGCAGAACCGCCCTTCTTCTTCTCGCCACCCTTCTTTGCGGGAGCCATTCTGCGGGGCCCAAATTGGAAAGGCTATCTCTTTTTTGTAAAAGACACTGATTGGTGCAGGAAAGATAGCAGTTAAGGCTACTTGTTGCTCTTACAGAGGACCAAAGTTCATTTCCCAGGACCCACACAGGGATTCACAACCATCTGTGACACTAGTTGCAGGGTTCCAATGTCCCTTTCTGATTTCCATGGGCACCAAGAATGTACATGATACACATGCATACATCCAAGCAAAACACACTTTAGTGCATTTATTTGTTTTGCACGCATTCGAGCATTCAAATGCTGCCTTGCACAGATGAAAGCCAGAAGGCACTGTTCTCCATTTCCATCACACCCCAGAGAATGAACTCAGATCCTTAACTCGTTAGTAATACCCCTACTTGCTGAAACTTCTTGACAGCTCTTGAGTAGCTATCTCAGTAGCCCTACTGAATTGGATTTGTAGCTGATAACATTTTTTCAAGAAAAGTCATGGCCTAGATGCTACAATTAAGTTCTACCAACAAAGGACCTGAGTTCGATTCCCAGCATCCACAGCAGACAGCTCACAACTGCCTATAACCCCAGCTCCAGGGGGAGTCTGACACCTCTTGACCTCTGTGGGCACTGCATTCACATGCACATACACTCCCATACACACAATTAAAATTAATAAAAATAGCCCCAGTGGTGGTGCAAGAGGCAGGCTGGGATCATTGTGGGTTCAAGGCCAGACTACAGAGCAAGTTGCAGGACACCCAAAGCTAGACAGAGAAACCCTGTCTCTAAAACTCAGAAAGAAAGAAAGAAAGAAAGAAAGAAAGAAAGAAAGAAAGAAAGAAAGAAAGAAAGAAGGAAAGGAGGGAGGGAGGGAGGGAGGGAGGGAAGGAGGGAGGGAGGGAGGGAGGATTGATTGTATTTTAAAAACACAGTAAGTTGAAAACAACAATCTTACAGATGTGGTCCATGTAAGGACCCCCAAAGAGGACCCCTAACCCAAGTCCCGATCAGCACGCACCCAAGGAGACAGGAGAGACTGACTTGATATAATGGCAAAAGGCAGTTTACTGACGAGGACCCTCAGATCGAAAACGCATCCCACGCAGGGGAGAATTTTCGATCCAGACCCCGAGAGCTCAGGGCTTTTATAGGGGACAGTGTAAGGGGGAAGGGAAAAGCGGGAAATTCTGGCACGGTTACATATAATTGGATATTTCAAACATCAGCACTTTGCATAAGCAATCATTTTGACAGGTTGGATGGCCCACTATTTTTGACCATGAAACCTCAGACCTTCTAGGATAAACACCAGGTGGCCCATTACTCACTTGGGCATGTTTAGACTGATAAGGATATGTCTTTGGTTGTTTCTACATTTTTGGTCACTTTGTCTCTAGAGGGGCTTGATATTTTTATAATGGCTATTCTCAGCAAGCTCAGCAAGCCGTCCAGCGGTCCTTGCCAAGTTATTTTTAATTTTTACTCTCACAGTCCACACCTACAATGCCAACACTTTTTAGGCAGAGCTAGGAAGATCCTAGACTGGTCCACTTAGCAAGAGTCTGTCAAAAAAAGCCCAAAAAGGAACACAGCAATCTCTAAAGCATAATAATACGTCATGGTGAAGAAAGTGAGGTCTGTCCTGGAAATGTAAGGGAGCTTTACCAGTGAAAAGGCAGTGGGTGTGGTTGGGGAGGAGGCTAGGGGGATGCTCTCGGCAGGGTGTGGGTGGGGAGGAGGCTGAGGGATCCTCCGTGGCTAAGCACACCGCTGCTCTTACAGAGAACCCAGGTTCAGTTCAAAGCACCCTCATGGTAATTTACAACCATCCATTAAGTCCAGTTTCAGGAGATGTGATGCTTTCCTCTGGTTTCATGGGCACCAGGCATACACACAGTGCACAAATATACATGCAGGTAAATCAGTCATCCAAAAAATAAATGTTTGGGGTTGGGGGGGTTGTTTGTTTGTTTGTTTTGTTGTTGTTGTTGTTTTTAAAAGCAGGACCAGAGATAAAGCTCGGCGGGTAGAGTGTTTCTGTGTGTCAGGCCCAGGGTGTGATCACCATCACGAAACAGGAAGAAAAGGAAGGAAAGTATGTGAATTCAATGTGAGACGGCAGACTAGTTGCTGTCTCTGTGATCTAGTGAAGGAGGCAGGATAAGGGGGGCGATACAACAACTGAAAAGTAGAAAGAAAAAAAGGTGGGAAAGAGCCAGGCCTACCAGCCCCAGGAATCCTTCTGGTTTAGGATTGATAAGCGGAAGCCTCCAAAAGATAAGGCAGGTGGCGCTACAGAGAGGGTAGCCCAGGTAGCGCTACGGAGAGAGTAGCTGTACTAAACCACAGGACCGGCTCAGAGGCCTCAGATTCAGCTGCAGGTTCTGAAAAGCGAGTGATTCCACCGACGGGCAGGTCAGGGAGAGAAATCCCATTTTGACAATGTATATGACTTGGAAGACAGTGGCCATTTATTTAAATCTGGGCTATTGTGGAGTTCAGAAAACAACAAACACGCAAATCAGGAAGCCAAAATTTAACCTTCCACTGCCCCAGGTTGAAAAACAAAACCAGGAGGTGGTTTGGTGAGCAAGATGACCAAATGCTTACAAGTTCCAAAGTTCAGGTGGTGTCAAGTTAGGTCAGTCAGTGAACTGACAGAGAAAGGTAGTTTGGCCCATGTCACCAGGAACAGATCCCATTGGAGAGTGAGGTCTGATCACCCTGAACCTGAGGTCAGCAGGTGCCATCAACCTCTGAAGCCACCTATCTACCATTCAGTGCTGTGGGATCCAAGCATTGCGAGGCTCCTGAAGACTGTTAAAGACCCATAGCTGCATCTAGCAAGGTGCTTGATACTTAGCAGGTTTTACAAATATGAAGATAGGCCCTGTACAG